TATTTTATATTGTTAATTTGTTATAATAATCAATATAAACAATAAAAAAGTAAATTTATTTATTTTTTTACTTAAAAAAATTATTATGAAGTATTTTTTTACTTTTTAATTTTTTTTCCTTATATTCTTTTTAACGGAAGAAAAAAAATAAAAATTTATAATTTTTAATGTTATAGAGATTAAATAATAAAAAAATTGAAAACTAAAGTTTTTTTTACAATTTTTATGTTATAAGACGAATTTGAATAAATGATAAAAATAAAATATAAAATGGTGTCCGATAGAAAAAAGTTAAAGTGAAAAAATAAAAAAATAAGAAAAAAGATAAAAAGATGAAAATAGAAAAAAAAGGAAAAAAAGTGAGTGAAAAAATATTTTAAAAAATAAATATAATATTTATTATAAATAAAAATTAAGAAAAAAAGAAAAATAATTATTTATATTTATAAAATATTTTAAAATAATAATTATATATATATATATATATATATATATATATATATATAATTCAGCTTTTGTATTTAATATGAAATTAAATGTAATTTAAAATATTTATTTCCTTAAAAAAAAAGTTTTGTTAAAGGTTATGGTTAACCAATTCAAAAGATGTGTTATCAAAGGGTTCTTTTTAACTAAGCCAATTCCATGTCCTGTGAAGCAGCATATTAATTCTCTGGTTATAACAAGAATCATGCATAACCAAGTTAACAAACTAATATATAAAAGAAAAAGGATGAGTGATAATATATGCAGTAATAAAAATAATTAAAAAAAAGGACTAATGGTATAATGAGTATAGCACCAACCAACATCAGTACAAGTGATATGATGATCAATGTTACCAACCCTAACGATTCCTTCCTTCATCAACAAGCTCAATAACTTTGCAATTTTCCACTTTTTAAGTCTTAACACAATTTAAATATAAACATGTTTTAACAACAAGTTTAATAGTTTTATCTTTGGATTTTATTTGAACAAAACCTTACTATGAGTGTAATAGGTATTTTTGTGTGTGTTGTTATCTCCCATTAAAAATTGAACTTTTATTTTGATCATTCATATCTTATTAAATGTATGTAACATTATTAAGATGAAACCCTAAATATAAATAAAAAACAACATCACAATATCTATAGATGTGTCTCTTTACATTTTTTTTCTTTTTCTTTTAATTATAAGTTTCTTAGAACTTATTAATAAAAACTAATTTCACTTTATGGTACATGGTCATGTTGACTTGAGGTAACAAATTTTTGACTGTGAGTAAAAATGAGAATAAAACAACTCTTTCCTCTTTGTCTTAGAATCTAGTTATTTTTGTAATCGTATAAAAAAAATTATAATATAAAATTAAGAATAAAATTACAATCTATTTTAAAATATTAAATACAAATTGAAACGTATTAACAGGTGATATGATATTGTGTAATTATATGTCTAGGATATAGAAGATGGTCATTTAAGGAATCAAACTTGAATAAATATTATAAAAATAATTTAACTTAACTAGATTTATAATTTAGATAATAGAATATTACATACCTTTAATTAATTACCCGCTGGCAGGTTAAAATGGCCAAAAAAAAAGCACACGTTTCGGTGGGCGTAACCAGACACAAAGCAAATATGTAAAAATGGGACCTACTTGACCGGTCTAATCGGTCAACTTGATTGGATGGATCAATTTTGATAATTTTGATTAAGACACTTCATTTTAATTTTTTATTTTTTGTATATATAATATTTATTTTTTAGATTTTGACCTGGTCAAAAGGTCACATAATATTTTATCAGTTATTAATTTTTTTAATTAACTTCCATAAATCTAATATTAGATTTTTTAATTGAGTCAATTCATCGATTAAACTCTAATGAATATGAAATCTCATAATTAATATGAATTATTTTATTTTCATGAAATAGAATTTATTATAACCTAGCGTAAAATTATGGTCATATAATTTAAAAAAAGAATTACGATACTTAAAAATGGTGTGAATACCCATTATTTGAGTTGATAATGATTGGATGGATCAAATTGAATTTATTTATAAAATTAGGATATTTAAATATCAAATTATGTTAAATATATAATATGTTTTTAACTCTTTTAATCTAATATTTTAGATAATTATAAAAATTATTTTAAAATAAAAATAAATATTTTATTATGAATATTATGTTATTATTTTATTACGAATTCTACTTATTTAAAAATAAAGAAGTTGGAAGTTTTAAAAAACAAAATTCACGATGAGATATTAAACTCGATGGCCTGAACCATGCAATAATTTAATCCAATGCCTAAATTGGACTATGCCTATATTTTTCCAAGAATGACATAAAAGTGAAGTTACGTACGTTTTCCTTTTCTCAACCAAGACCCAGTGGGAAACAAAAATCTTACAAATTACAAAAGTCCAACCATTTCCACCACAAACTTCAAAGCTCAACTTTATTTTTTCCCCCCGACGCGTGGAAAACTTGATCCCTTCAAGATAACTCCTACAAACACCATCCGAAAAAGTATTATCAGAACCCATTTCCAGAATTGGACAATGTATGCCATGATGCCAGAAGCAGAAACCAAGTTTTGAAATTTAGATCATCATAAATTACCCTTTTCATCTCAAGCTAGAATAATGTGATTAGACAGTCTGAAAGAAGTTCTCATACCCCTATCTGTCTGCATAATTTTATCATGATAAACATCTTAACAAGATCCACCTTTTTCTCCCTAAGCTTTCTCAACATATCCTATCAATTTGGCTCATCTGTTTATTATGTAAGCTGTTAGATTATTATACACACTTAACTCTTAATGATGGATCATTCATCAGAGAAAGTCCACCAAAAACCCAGGACAAATTTAGGCATCAACCAGAGCAAAATTCAATGATTTGAAAAGTTGCAACTTAATGGCAAAAAACTTTGATTATAACCAGTTTATCTTTTCCTTGTGTTCAACGAGCTGAACGGCCCTCCACCAACCATACCCCACCTATTACACCTCGTGCAAACATGCAGACACAGACATATACATATAAATCTCTGCAAACAAAACAAACACTTGATGGGTTATACGCATTTTTGTGAATAAAATTATAAAACAGCGTCGTCATTTGGTGTTAGTTAAGAAAGTAGATAGCACGGTCTCATCGTGGTGGCAGCAACCCCAATAACTCCTCTAAACAAACCGTTTTCACCAACTGATATGTCCAAACCATCGCCACTTGGCACCACCACAGCAACTCAATAAGCTCTTCCGCGTAAACCAAGAAAAAACCCTGGAACGCAATTCGTATTTCTTACATCATTGTTACGTACGAAACTATAGTTGAAGTGAATTTTGGTATGAAAAACTAAACATATTTTGGCAACAATGGTGTGGCCCATGTTGACGTTGTCCTACTACAAGTCTAGAACTTAAAAAGACTGGACCCGTAAGTACTGACCCGCACATGTGAGTGCGCACACACTCGACAGAATGTTTTATCTTGTGCCATTTCATTGAACGCGTCAATGGGAGTAACTACTAACTAGGTAAAATGTTAATTTTTAACTTGAATTTCATTGAAATAATGTATGGTTTAAATATTAACAAGCAATTACTGAGTGGTTTAAGCATTTTCATTGGAGTATGACTTTTGGGTTGGAAAAGAAGTACTATGACTGACTAGGGTCCAAAAAAGCTGGAGGGTGAATAGGACACGTTGCTCTCACTGCTTCTTTTTTCTTTTACTCACCTGGAAAAGTCACTTTACTAGGCTTAGGCAAGTTAGGCGTAACATAATGTTCTTGTTAGGCGCCGATCTAACATCTCGCAATTGTCACAGGTATCATTCGGATTGTGACTTCGCGACGATGCACAATCTCGCTCAATTGCCACAGAATAACTGTGACCTGCTCGATAATTGTTAGCTCACCATTTGTTCGTGTTCACGTCTGATCATTGATCCATTCCGAACAAACTCGTTGATTATTTCTCCACCATTAAGTCGATAATGCGGAGAATATCGATAATCAGAGTTTTGTTCGAGAATGATCAAGATGCGAGCCAACAAACGGTGGTAACTAATTGGTATCGAGCCAAGGTCACGAGTTCGATTCCGGTGAGCAATTGTTGAGGGAGATTGTTGCAGGTTGCACAATTGTCCCGTGGCGAGGCCGGTGGCCAAGTCACAATCCAAGAGTGGGATACCTGTAGGACAATTGCTGAGGGGGAGATTGTTGCAGGTAGCATCAATTGTCCGCTCGATCCTAACAATTGGTATCAGAGCCAAGGTCACGAGTTCGATTCCTAGTGGGCAATTGTTGAGGGGGAGATTGTTGCGGATTGCACAATTGTCCCGTGGCAGAGGCCAGGTGGGCCAAGTCACAATCCAAGAGTGGGATACCTTGTAGGACAATTGCTGAGGGGGAGATTGTTGCAGGTAGCATCAATTGTCCTGTGACGAAGGTCAGGTGGGCCGAGTCACAATTGAATCGTGGCGCTTGGGCTGTTAAAGTAAAAAGAGTTGCGCTCTGACTAATGACTATAGCTTTTGGCCTAATGGTAAGGGCTCGATCCTAACCGTTCTTTTCTTTGGAAAATATATACTAGAATTGCTTCCATGTGGAAGAGTAGTCTAAGTTGCAGTTATTATTATTATTATCGCTCGATAGTGTTAAAGGAAAAGGAAAAGAAGAAAAAAAGAAAGAAGGAACAAGCCGAACATGGAAAACGGTTTTGTCAAACTTGGTAAGAGTTTTCATACAATAAGCCAAAAGACGCATCATAATCACAACACCTAACAGAGAAGTGAGAAAAGAAGACAGCGAGCAGCCAGTTATTAACGAATTTCATACGCTCTTGCTTTCTCATCTTTTCATTATAAAACCCAAGTTTTGGCTCCCAAACAACCCCACACTCACCTCACGCACACCCTTCTTCTCCTTTTGTCCCTAAAATACACAAAGAAGAAGCCAAACACAACACAACAAATTCAGGTGCAGTAATGGAGAGTGACACAAACACCCTTACTTCCTCTCCCACGTTTTCTCACTCCTCTAATACCCCTTCTTCTTCCCCTCCCCAAGTTGTCATGAGCCCTTGTGCTGCGTGCAAAATCCTTAGGCGAAGATGTGTTGAGAAATGTGTCTTGGCACCTTATTTTCCTCCCACTGAACCTGCCAAGTTTACCACTGCTCACCGAGTCTTTGGTGCCAGCAACATCATCAAGTTCTTACAGGTAGTTAGCTAACTATCTTGGCATACAAAATCTTACTTCACTCTCATGTTTTTTCGTCTCAAACTTCATTCATTTTCTTAAGACTAACTTCTTTCCACATTTTCATTGCTTCTTTTATATGGTAAATTTCAATGACATCATGACACTGCATAATGTTATGACTATGAAACACCCTGCATCGTGTTCTTTATAGTCTAACTTGCAAGATTTTCCACGTGGTTTTTCCTTTTTGAGTCAACTGTGATTTCAGACACTAACAGTGATTTGGTAACGAACCGATAGGAACTTCTCCATTATTGAGTGGTAAATCAAAACACTGTTCCACCAATATCTCACCAAAATCCTTTTATACAGTATGATTAAAATATAAAGTATATGTATACTGGACCACTCGTTCTAAACGTAATCAATATAATAGAAATATAATCAAAATAGAACCTATTCTAACAAAATTTTGGTGGGCCTCCTTATTCTAACCAGAAATCGATTTAATATTCTGTCATAAACACGCACCTTACTGCATTGTACGACCAATTAAAATGCAATGAGCATTCAAGCATTGAATTGATGACATCATTGTTTTCCTTCATTTTCCAGGAACTTCCAGAGTCTCAGAGAGCTGATGCAGTGGCGAGCATGGTTTATGAGGCTGGTGCAAGAATAAGAGACCCTGTATATGGATGTGCAGGTGCAATTTGCCAGCTCCAGAAACAAGTCAATGAACTTCAAGCACAGTTAGCAAAGGCACAAGCTGAGGTTGTAAACATGCAATTCCAACAAGCCAATCTCGTGACCCTAATTTGCATGGAAATGTCACAGACTCCACAGGAATCTCCACAACAATCCACGGACAATTTCATCACAAGTCCTTCCCACAGCAGTGGTTATCAGAACAACCTCAATTTCTTTGAGGACAACACCAACCTAAACTCTTTGTGGGAGCCTCTTTGGACATGATGATGAACCAGACTCACACAAGACATTTCATAAATGTTCCCATGACATTCTCCTAAGGAGAGCTTGAAGGAATCTACTTGAACTACTAAATTATAAAAATAACTTTGGTAGCTAGAACTCATGTAGTTAGTTTAATATATTCCCTCTCTGTAGGAAGATTTTGGAGAGAATAATGTTAATTATGAGTCTAGTTGCTTTGCACAAGGTTGGCAAAGTAAATAGGTTCAAATTATCATTTAAATGTTCGATGGTTTTTTGAAACATGTAATCGTTTCAATGTTGAAGAAAACAGGGGAGATATTATGTTTCCGTTTGTTTGTATGCACTGATATTTTAAATCTAAAACACGTTTTTGGTCACCTACTATAATCATTCAAAAATTTATCTCTCATCAATGCTTAGTTCCATGTCAAAGCAACTTTTGACCTTATGACTTTGGATTCGTTATGGTTCTACCAAAACCAAAATTTTCCTTTCTGGATATAATGTCAATCAAAACACAAATCTAGGGAATATCAAGATGGAAGACCAAACAACCTCTATGCATAAAAGACAATTATTATGTTAATTAACAGTGACCTGCAACTTTATTTGACCTCATTTGAATAAACTAAAAAAAACATCTATATAAACATCCCACGACTTCGATTTCTTGTACGTATAAAATTTAGATAAATTAAAATTTTAAATCAGGCAGAAGTGTTATTTATGTTGATATTATTATAATCAACTTGAAATTTAGATTTTTTTTTAAATGAAAATTAATATCTATCATAAAGTTGAAAATATAATTTCTGTTTATTTTTCTTATTATTAATTCTCATGAGAAATTATGTTCTGATATATATTTGTAAATCACACTTTACTAAATATCAAAACTTTACACGTTACTAAAGATGGAAACTAAGAATAACCTATAAATATCGTATTTTCTTAATTAATAAAAATATTTTAAAAAAATAATACAGATTAAATTTTTAAAATAAATTAAACTTCAAATGTATTAATTGATTCCAAAACACGTTTTTCAATACAATAATTAATATTTATAATGTATAAAATTAGAGAATTTGAAATAGGTTAAAATTTGAATAATCTTTTCAATATTGTAAATTGGGTTGGTTGTGTGTAGAGAGCGTATGAAGAAGGCAAAGAAGATTAAAAAAAAAAAAAAAAAAAACATGTGCCTGTCTCCCTTAAACGCGTTTTGGGGGCTATAATTTAAATCATGTGCGAGCCACGTGCGGTGATCTTTATAAAGCAACCGAACCAACCATACAACAATGTTACCTGTCGGCAACTTGTGTCATTCTCGTCATCGCAGATGATAACTCGTTTCTCACTAAAAAATGTCATCAACTTTTGCTTTTTATTGACTCAAAGTGGAGGTTTACACGCCTGCGTGTGACTTGCACAGTACAATCTGTTAATTAGTCAATTTTGATTAGTTCCAGTAAATATTGTTATTTTTCAAAAAGTCATTTCTTGATAAACATAGCGAAGAATAAACTATACATGAAGACAATACCATACGCATCATGTTTCCAAAAAACCCTAGTATACGTCAAATGCATGTATGGAATTAGGAGCCACCATCCATGCTTCCATTTCAACACAACTAAGAATCAACGGGTTTTGGCCCTAATTTCCTCTACCATATTTAATACACTTTTTATTTTCGATCTCAATTTATTAAAAACACAAACATCATTGTATTATATATATTAAATAAACAATTTTTATTTTTATTTTCATTCTTTCCCATATATAATATATTTTCGTACCTCTGAAATTAATCATTTTCGGTCACAATTTTTTACTCATACCATTGTTCAACGTGGATTCACTTACTAGTATCATTATTAAATACTTGCAAATGATGATCACAAATCATATTAACATGAGAAGATTTTTCATGAAACATGAATCAATCATGCTAACACATTAGAAGACTTTTATAAATGATATATGAATAAATTATAAAAATAATATAACCTCAATGTCAATTTATAATGACATTAGATTTGTAGGTCACTCACTTATAATTTATTTAGTTTTCTCATTTTTATTTAATGTAGTTACTCTTTCAGTAGTACATTGCTACTCTGCGTATATAAATAAGGTTATATACATTACACTCCCTCGGTAACATACACATTTATTATTATTATTATAACAGTACACACAGCCAATGGTTTTTTTCCGTTGACTCAAACGTTGGATGTTTTACTTTTTCCTAGTTTCTCACAAACACAAGATGCGTCCTTTATATATATATATATAAACTGTGTGGTGGTGGGTTCGTGTTAACCTGATAGTGGCATTAGGTTGAGTCTGAATGAATGATATCCACCTGTGTGTAACGAAAAGAAAGAATGCACAAGTTTGAAACCGCCTAGACGAGGAAATTCTAGAATTATTATGTTCACACACGAATCGCGATCCATCGAAGAAATCGAAATGGGTAGTTATACTTTGTGTTTCTACAGATTCATTGCAATTCATGCAGCAGGATAACAGAATGTCTGGTTGTGGAAGAAAGTAATCTTACTTAATAATGATATTCATATTTCAGAGACAAGATTTGGTTGTTCAAGTGGGAACGAGGACTCGGGAAAAAGGGAAACAGATAATGTCATTTATTCATTTTTCTTTTGCGTTCTTGTCTCCTGGTGGCAGATAGCTTTTTTAATCACTCATGTCATGTATATATTTTTCTTGCAAATGGTCCAATTGCCTTTAATTTTTGCCGTGGGTTCATGGATCTACCATCCACTTTTTTGCCATCATGAATGCGCAGTCTTTTCACATATCCGTTTTCATATCTGCATATTCTTTCTTTACATGTACCTCGTAAAAACATAACATAAGCCATGTATTGACTCTGGTTCACTAGTTCTGCTCTGTATCTTTAGGTTACATTTGTACCCTTTTTTTTTTTTTCTAACTTCAAATTTTACCTATTACTAAAATATTGAGAAATATAAATATAAGTTTAAGTTTTATATTATGTAAAAATGAGAAAGTTAAATAAGTAGATTCATGTTAAGAGAATTTTAGAAAATATAAATATAAGTTTAAGTTTTATATTACGTAAAAATCAGAAAAGTTAAATAAATAGATTGAACTTATGTCTCTTTTGTTAAGAAAATTTTATAAATAAGTAATGAGTTAACCATACAAGAGAATATGTCATTATCTTCAATCCAAAATTTGTAAGATATTAGGTTCTAGGTCTTTTTCAATTATAAGTTACTCAACTTTCTTATTTTTACTCAATATGAGATTTCAAACTCACATTTTAATTCTTAAGATCGTTCGTGTTATTTTTTCTAAGTAAATTGTTCTAGAAAAATCTATATATCAAACATTCCAATGACATATTAAATTTATTTTTACAAAAATTAATTCAATAATATTATTGAATTTATAATAATCAACTTAGATATTTCATTCTTACCATTTAAAAACTAGAGTTGTAACTTTTAAAACTAAGGTAGAATTTGTTTGATAAACCTAATTTGTAATAAATATACCTCGTGTTTTTCTTTAATTGGAAATATTTCATTTGATGAGAATCTTTGTAGCATTCATTAGTGTGGTCTTTTACTAGACAGGATAAAGAGTCTCATCTTGATGAAGATATCAGTAGCATTGAGTACTAGGATTTTTAGTACAGTGAACTATACTCTCCCATACTATGCAATATTATGCATTAAAAAATAAAAGATAATTTATAAATATTTTTTTATAGAAAAATGTATTTTAGAAATAAAATAATGACGGATTAAACATGATAAGTACTTATACTAAAGTTTCCGTAGCAATTTATTTTAAAGTTTCCGTAGCAATTTATTTTAAATGCTTAATTATTTGTTTTAAATTTTAATCACTTATTAATTGATACATAAATATTTCAGTTTTAAATTTTTTTTAAGACATACTCTACTCGATATTTTGGAGAGACTTTTTATCTTTATGAATTTGGTTTTTACCATAAGAAACGATTGTTTCACAATCGGTTCTAATGATTATTTCTGACTTATCTATTAGAAATAATTTAAATGCTTCAAGAGCATGTATGATAACATTGACTTTATAGTCAGTGCTAGTTTGATACACCTGGGGTTTAGCAGTGTATTTGTCAGAGGCATATCTACAAATTTGTTCTTCTATCTTAAAAAAATATTTGTTTTTCTTGCGTTTTAGGATGACTCCCCATCCTAATTCGCTTCCATCGCACTCAATTATCAAATAATCAGAGTCTAATGGTAATTTGTTTACCATCTGTTTTATATTCTGAACCAATATGATGTCTTTAGAATTAAATTTTCTTTCTCCTTTAATAGAAGTCTTGTTATATAAAGGAGATGTATATTTACCTAAATTCGGAATGAAATTTCGGGCATAATTTAAGAGTCCTAAAAAAGATCTCAAAGTCTTAATATCCTCCATTTTATCAGGAAAATCTTGAATTTTTCTAGAAATATGGGGTTGGAGTTTTATGGTTCCATTCCCTATTTCTGTTCATTTTATTTTTAGACATTATTAACCCATAGTGTTCTAATTTGTACAATACTTGTTTTAAATGAAGAAAATGTTATTCTTTAGTTTTGGAAAAAACAAGTATGTCGTCTATATAGACGCAAGTAAAGGATTTAAAGTCTTTAAAAATGTTGTCCATTTTTCTTTGAAAAATAGCAACTGCATTTTTAAGACCGAAAGACATAAAATGTCATTCATATAATCCTTCTGAACAGGAAAAAAATGTCCATTTTATAGAGTCAGGATCCATTTTAACCTTGTGGAAACCACTCTTTAAGTCAAATTTTGAAAACCATCTTGCATTTTGTATGCGGTTTATCAAAATATCTTTAGATGGAATGGTATATCCATCTTCGACTGTGTTATCATTCAGTCTTTTATAATCGTAAACCATCCTTGATTTACCTCTTTTTTATTCTGAAGCTTTGTTAACTATGAAAGCAGGACTCCTGTGA